ATCCACCTTTCTTTTCTTCTCCTTTTCGTTGTGGCGGCTTTTTGGTCGGCTTTTCGCGGGTTCTCTGCGACAAGAGACCTTAACTTTTTTGTCCTTGACTTGCTGCCGCCAAAGACTAATTCGGTACAAATACCTGCTGAATCTCCAACCAGCTAAAGCTTTCCCAGAGTGTTTCCATCGGGAAAACCACTGGGCCGATAAAACCTTTAGGAGGCGAAAGCAATATCACCAATTGATACCAGAGAATGTAGCACTGATCAAAACAACCGTGGAAAAAAAAAACGGCATGGCTCTCGGTTACATCACTGACAAATCAGTGATGAAGTGCTAAATGCAATCATTTCTACTGTTTGTAACCAAGTATTAAAATAAAAAGCACAAAGTACCGTGTAAAAACGTTGCGACCATATTTTGACCAGTGTTCTCGAACAATATCCTCAACTGATTTCTTCTTATCTGCTAGAATCTGTAACCAAGCCAGCATCGCCCAAATACCATCCTTTTCCCTAAAAACACGAGCTGTAGCCACTGATTACACATATACGCATCCAGGTATTCGCATGCTTTGCGGTAAAACCTTAGACTCCCAAGATCTTTTTGATGAATTGTCTTCAATCAGCTGCAGCCTGCTTGACCCAAAGTTTAACAGCTGCTGCCGACTTATAAGGCAATAAAGGCTTAGTAAATCCGCCAAAGGATATAGCACATGTTTCTCATTTTGCTGACAACCGATGGATATCGCTTTCCCTTTATCAGTAGTCGGAAGAAAGAAAAACAAACCCCTCAGCCGGTATCGCAAGGGCACTATGCTTGACGTAAACCAATAACTGACGCAAAATTAAATTAGAACATCCTTCGAATTAAAACATCCTTCACAAAATGCCGAATGCATCCCAGAAATGCCGGATTTCCACACACCAGTAACAGTCCGAGACTGGAAAAGCGTAAATCCCTCAACTTGACGTAACTGGAAAGCTAATCCATCTGACTTAGCTATAGAACTAATCCACCTGATATCTTTAGACGATCGAAAATCTACTCACCTGATATGATCGGAGCCAGTGCCAAACGATTCCTCACCACAAAGCGATAATTTGCCAGCATCCATCAAATTCCCAAAAAATTTCCATCCAGTCGGTGTTTCATACATCGGCAAGCCAGTTTCTTTAGCAACTCGATCAACTGCTCCAGCAGTGGGCATACTTCTCGCATATCCTGCAATACATTTTCACTGATAGAAGCTTTCTTGCAGCGGAAGTAAAAGCTAAAACTACTACTATGCGAGCCTTTTGAATACAAACCTTTTATGCCATGTTTTTGAAAATATGGGATGCAATTTAGATTAGCTGCAATAACAGCAAGCGAATCGCTGGGTGTCACAAAAAACCCATTCTTTCCAAGAATCATATTTCGATCCTGGAATTTGCAATCCAATCGATTTTTTAATTAATAATAGACCAGAAGGATTGTACTCAGGCGTCATGTGTAAGGTGATATTTTACGGCGCAACTGTCTTTCATTGTTTAGATGCAGAAGGATGATCCATAATTCGCTAATAACTGATCCATAATTCGCTTCCTTGGTGCCTGCGTCACTTCGACCTAATGTTTTAGTCTCAATGTGCATATTACATCAGCTGCGGACATGAACAGGGGTAAGTAAGACCGTTACCGAAGGTCGAGAGTCCGATTCCACCAATGGAACAACTAATCCCACTACCAATCGTTCATCTGTTACACTAGAGCGCTGCAACAGGTAGCATAAACTCATGTTGCGACGGCCCTGTCTGTGTATGTGTTCATCTGCCCGGGTCTTTTTTTACTCAACAACCAAACAAGCTTTGATGCTGAAATTTTGCCAGTATGTTCCTCGGTTAAGTTTCGTCCCAGGAACGTGACATCAATTATCACGTATGTCTACGTCTCACGTACGGACATGTGGAAGTTCTGGCGATCTCACTCCAGCACGAAATAGTCCAAAAACACACGATTGCACCAGTCCGCCTAGTGCGCAAAGCAAATGAATTTTACTGCTAAACTGGCATTAATGTATGTAAGGGAGTCAATCTATCATCAGGTCGTTTCTCAGCAACTCTCAAAAAGGAAGGCACAAAATCGTTTCCTGTGGTTGATTGTTGTTGGCAGTTGCTACCACTCGGGCTATTTCTGAATGCTTTCACCTTTCACACAGACTGGCGGAGGGCTTTTAACTTCGGTACGGACTATTGCTGCACAGCCTTCAAAATACTACCAAAGTGCAAGTGGTACCCACAAGATATAAAACAAACTACACTTTATATAACAACTAATTTATGCTAAAATGGCACAAGAAATCCAGCATCCTAAAGAAATCAGTTATTTTTTGTTGTTTTTTTTTTTGACTTAAAAGATATCACGCCAAATACTTTTTTCTCTCTTCAGTCTTTCTAAACTTCAAAAACATAAATCAGCTAAAAACCAATCAGCTTTTTCATAACTTAGCAAAACCCAACCAAAATTGAGCCAAAATGACCTAAAAATGTAGAAACACCTACAAAATCAACACGCATATGTCACGTAAACGTCAGGGAATATATTCTTACCCCATCTCCATCGAATGCAGCGCCAAAATCATGTTCGCCCTTTTTCAACGTATCCACCAGATGCTTCGCGTAAGTTAAATTCGGATCCGGATGACCGCCGCCAAAATCTGGTTTCGGAACTGTGTGTGATGTGAATTTCGGATCGACGCCCAATTTGTGGACAAGTATTGAGTCAATATAAGGCCCCGTTGCTCCGTATAAACTATCGATGAGCACGTTGAATTGACCCATCACTCTTCCACCAAGCAATTCCTTTATCTGCAACAAACAATTTTTTTTGCTAATTTTTTTGAAAACCGCTTTTTTTGGGTTATTTAAAAAAGATTATTCAATTTCCCTTGACAACATTACTCAAAGACATAACCCTTACGTGACCAGGGACGGATCCAGGGCGGACTTAGAGGGAGGAGAGAAGAGGGGGGAAGCAAATGCCAAAAGTAAGCACTGTCATAAAACCGATGAAAAGTCCCATGTATTTTGATAATATCAGCTACCGAATTTTTCACTTTTTTTCTACAAAGGCTATGCAAACAAGAGATTTTATGCAAAAGACTATAACCCCCAATTTTTTGCAAAACTGAAATAACCTTCGAAAAATCGAATATTTCTTCCATTAGTTGTACATAATCTTTCACGGAATCAATCACGTCCACAGTGAATTTGCCGTACCCTTCAATATCGTAATCGGTTCGTCCAATTTTCGTGAAATCGGCATGCAAATCGCGACATATGTAATATTTTGTTATGAGTTGGCTTAGTGTATAAATAGCATCCGTAATCTGAAAAATATGCATTCTATCGTGGCAGCCTCCACAATCATCTGTCAAAATGTTCGACATTTTTTCTTGACGTTTCTGCAACGCATCAACATGCCAGGCATAGATATATCAGATCCTTCGATTCTAAGCTGCATATTTTCAGCTGATAAGCAACATCTTTTTCGCATGCAAAAGTATCTCTTCCGAGGCTGCCTATGTATTCATTTGCTTTTTCGCGGATAGCACTCACCAGTGCGCAACGATCATAAGCTGGAAGGCTGAAATTTTGAGGGCACATTCCTATCCTATATTTCGCATTCCCGTTTTAAAATCATTACTCAGGCGCGCTTTGTTGTCGTGCATAATGGTATTTTAGCTAACAATTAAGAAGTTTTTGATTGCAAAGAAAAAATTTACCTTTTCGGGAGCTGGGCCGCCATTCTCGCAGTTATATTTTATTCCAAAATCAGCTTTCGGTCCACCGGGATTATGACTGGCTGTTAATATAATACCACC